GCTTAAGAAGTTTTCCAAGTTCATGTAATTCTGTGTCACTGTCAAGGTTGAAAAAATTAATGATCACCAAGTTAACTTTAAAAATTTGAATTATATTTAATAATTATTTTTAACCTTTTTTATGTTCAAGTGGAGGTTAAACAAAATTCCAAAAGAGCAAAATTTTGAATATGCATTTTCATTGCTTGAATTAAGAAAATTTTCATTCTCATCTAGTTGCTCGAGCTTGCGGTCTAGAGGAGAGACTGATGTTAGCTCAGGCGGAGCAAAACCAATTGCTCTACTGAGAGTAAAGCTTTTAAAAACGACCAACTTGAATCCAGGCCTCACACAGACATAAAACTAATAAGCTGCTTTTCATGATCAAACTTCTAAGTTTTCTTTTAATCACCCTGAGAAGCATCTTTAGAAATGTCACCCCTGGCCCTTCCTCCTCCCCCACGTCCACGTCCGCCGCTTCCTGTGTGCAGAGGGACCACGCCTTCCTCCCCCCTGCCCTGTGTCTGTCCCTCTGCTGCTGGCTGGTGTGGCTGCTCTGAGAAAGTCCACGAGGACAGAAGCTGGGACAACAGATCCTGTAATTCTGATGCCACCCCGCATGGCCCTGGGAACTCAGTCTCTGTGCAGAGGATGGCGGTGGTCAATGCCTGGCCAGCACCCCGAGAGACGCAGCAGGCCGGAGTGGGGAAGGAAGAGCGGCACGGAGCCCGAGCTCACGGGGATCACGAAGACCGCGCGGTGATCCCGACGCCGATGAGCTGGGTGAGCTCCGTCAGCTGCCCTCCAGCCGCCAACCTGCTGAGACCTGCTGAGGGCGGGTCCCAGCCCCTCCCCTGGCAGCCGGGAGCTCTGAGAGCCAGGCCGCTGGGCCAGGCCAGTGCCACCCCACGCTGGACGGAGGGCACCTCTGGCGCTTTCTGTGCTGAGTGCGCCCGTGAAAGGGGCGGGGCAGACCGAGCGAGTCTCCGGAGGACCCTGTGCTGCTCCGGCCTCACTGTCACTCACTGAACACTGCCGGCCTCCGCCACGCGCCGGCGCCTTCCCGCCGGAGGACGGGCCTCATCTCTACCCGACAGAGGTGGCCGTCGGGGCGCAGAGCGGGCAGGGCCTTGTCTCAGGCCTAAAGCCAGTAACAGAGGACCAGGACTTGAGCCCGGGAGTGACTGCAGGCCCCGTGTGCGGAGCTTAGGAAGCTGTGCGGAGCCTCCTCCAAGGCTCTCCCCAGACATCCGGTCCCCTCCCTCTCCCACTGGGATCCGAGGGTCCCCCACGGCTTTGCGCCCCCTCTTCAATAGTGGGAAGGCAGGCGAGTCCAGCACAGGGAAAGATGCTAAGGATTATATACCTGAAAGTCAAATAATCTTTTGCCAAACTGCATCCTTTCTTTAATATACGGAACAGTGTAGTCAAAACATCCTTGAGCCAATCCCAGCATCTGAGGGAAAAAGAGATCAGAATTTCTTATTTTGTTACAGAGCCTGAACCTGGGCAGGGGCCAGTGTGGCTGAGCCGGGCGTCAGACTCCCGCCCAGGGCGAGTGCAGAGCCGGAGTGGAGAACTCACGGAGCAGGTGGGAAGACCGCCCGCTCACACCCTGAGGACCGCCCAGGCCGTGGGGCCAGCCCCGCTGCAGTTCCTCCTTGCTGACCACGCTCCGCATCGGCTGAACGGTCCCAGCTTAGAAATGGTCCCTGAATTCAACGTTACATCGTCATGAAGTCACATCTAACCATGGCACGCCATGCAGGCTCAGAAAGAGGGAAAGAGAATCGGCAGGTTAAGCTTTGGGGGAAATGCCCACAAACTTCAATATTTCATTCGAACTCGTCACCTTTCCTCTAGCCGTTTATTTTGAACTTTCTGGAGAACAGAATATCATGCTAAAAACTAAAGGACAAAAACAAAGGAGCAGAACTCCAACAGAACAAAGGGAAGTGCGGCCGGGCCCCTGCACTCTGAGCTCAGATGGTGCCCTTTCACCCTGGAACGGAAGTTATTTCACCTTAGAATAGAGTTTTCTACTGGCGTGAAAACTGAAATAGTTGGCTGTCCACTAAAACCGGCCTCCCTCTGAAATGCTTTCACTGTAAAGCCTGAAAGTCTAAGTGCTCTGCGGCTGCAGAGGGTCGAGGGCGGGCACCTTCAGACCCGCTGCCTGGGCCTCAGTCCCTACGAGGCGCCCGCCGCTCCCTGACCTTAGCTTCTGGTCAGGTTGTAAGGCCACCTGAGCAACAGCCGCCCGCCCAGCCGCGTGCTCTGCGCCAGATGGAGCTGAACCGCAGAAACCCTTTAAGAAGAACAGAGAAGCCAGTCTCTTCAGTAAGATGTTACCTAGTTCTGTGGGGAGGTAAGCGTTATGATTTAAGAATATTCTGTTAGCAAACCTAGCAGCCGTGAAAAAAATCTCGAGTCATACCACAACATTTAAGCAATCCAACAGCTATAGTCTGTGTAACATCCTCAAAATCTAAAAGCTCTTCTGTTTGTGAATTCCGGATATTCACTGACTAAAAGTAAATACATATATCCTACAAAAATGATGTAATTTATAAAACCAAAGGCTTTACTCCTTTTCTTAATCTAAGAAATAACTGATACCACTTAATAGAAACATGTGCTATGCATGACGAAGGGCAAATATGATAAATGACTGAATAGTCCTCACACCACATATCTATTCAAATGCAGCTCTTGTATTTCAAGCGTCTCACACACAAATCCCCTGAATTTCACATGCAAAACCAAGAACAAACATTTCATTATCTATTGATTAGAGACTTGTACTACATAGTTCAAAATCATTTCTTCTTAAATTAGAATGTTCTTCCAGAATGGATTTCATGGGTTAAAGACTTGATTTAAAATAAAATACTGCATCTATCACACAGCCTGGACGTCATCGATGCAGGTATCGGGCAAACGTTCATGTTCCGAAAGCAGGAAGCCGCCACCTGAGCCCACTGTTGGTTCTCAGGACATCTCCGATGGGGAGCCCAGAGCCCTGCAGGCCTGGAGGGAGGGCGCCCCCATGTGTCCGCACGCTTCCCCTCCTTGCTGGCTGCACTGCATTTCCCCTTCCTGCTGTTCATGGACCCGCCCCCGGGAGAGAGCGTGCCTGGGCACAACGCGACCCACCTGAGCAGCGATTCCTATTCTCCCTTCGTTGAGGCTCCCTATGGCGTACTTGTAGCCGTGGCCGACCTGCCCCAGGACATTGGCTTCTGGAACCTGGAAAAAACCCAATTATTTCTCAGTGTAATTCAACATAATTCATTTTGATTATATGTGTGTGTGTGTGTGTGTGTGTGTGTGTGTGTGTGTGTTTTAAATGTTGCCCTAGCTGTTTTGGCTCAATGGATAGAGCATCGTCCTGCGGACCGAAGGGCCCCGGGTTCGATTCCTGGTCAGGGCACATGCCCCGGGTTTTGGACTCGGTCCCCAGTGAGGGGCGTGCAGGAGGCAGCCGATCCATGATTCTCTCTCATCATTGATGTTTCTATCTCTCCCTCTCCCTTCCTCTCTGAAATCAATAAAAATATATTTAAAAAATGTTTTTGTTGGTTTCAGAGAGAGGAAGGGAGAGGGATAGAGGAACAGAAACATTAACGATGAGAATCATTGATTGGCTCCCTCCTGACGCCCCCCTCTGGGCCTGTGCCCTGACCGGGAATCGAACCGTGACCTCCCGGTTCATGGGTCAATGCTCCACCACTGAGCCTCGCCGGCCCGGCTGATTTTTTACTTTTAATGCACATCGACTGCAACGCGTGTGCCGTGACCCAGCACGGTGCTCGGCCCCAGCTGTGTCCCACGGTGAATGGCTCCCGGCACGGCTCTGGGAGAGACGGCCCCGGCCCAGAACCCGCCGGCATCTGCTGGCGACGAATGCGTCCAGAGGCAGGAGTCGCTCACGGCTCCCCAACAGCACCTGTCCGCATGGCCCAGTGTGAGCGACACGGGGAGTCGCAGGAAACACGGACTCCCTGCAGCCGCTCGGGCGGGAACCGTCCCGTGGAGACTGTCACCCAGGAGAATGCATGTGTGTGCACGTGCGTGTGCGCCTACAGAGGAGGGAAGGGGGAGGTGACTATGTTCATGCATCTCTTTCAAAAAGCTGCACCAGAAGCAGCAAAAGATGCACTGGCTTTAGGATAAGGACAGCGAGGAGAGACGGGCAGATGGAGAAAGAGAAGAGAAAGCAGGAAGAAGGAAGGCAGCCATGAGGCCCCGATACCTGCGGGCCAGTCTCTCTCTAAAGTCCACCCTCACGGCCTCCCTCTCTCTAAAGTTCGACCCTCATTTTAAAAGACTCAACTCAGAACTGAGGGGCGCTGCCGGGTGCTTCCCATCTCCCTGAGCAACACCCCCACCTGGTGGCCTGCGCTGCACCCACACAGGCTCCTGCCTGAGCCTGGCCACAGCATCACGCGTGTAAACGGGTCAATTCCTGACTCTGAGGAGCTGCCGGGCACCAGGCTCCCTCTGGCCTAACCCTCGGGGAGCACAGCGATCACGGCCCCGGGCACGTCCTCGTCCTAGCCCACCGGTCCCGCGGTCGCCGCCTCCCCGCACCCGCGGTCCGTGCAGACCTGGCTCACACCCGCCCGCGCGCCGGAGCTCCGACACCCACCTTGACGTCCTCGAGGGTGAGCGGGCAGGTGGACGAGGCCCTGATGCCCAGCTTGTTCTCGGGTTTCCCCACGTGGAAGCCCTCCGTGTCCCGGTCGACCACGAAGCAGGTGATGCCTCGGTACCCCTAGGGGAGGGGGGTGTGAGCACCCGGCTGATTAGATCCCTCCTTCCCACCGTTCAGGTAAACAGAACCCAGAAGGGACCTTTAGCGAGAGAGAGCCGCCGGGGCTGGCACTGCAGCACGTAGGCGACACGGAGGAGCAGAGGGCCCGGGCTCAGACTCACTCGCCTCGCCCTCCTCCTTCCTCAGAACCCAGTGGGGTTTTTACATGATCCAGTTACAGAACCACATGATCACGGGGACTCCACGTTTCATACTCCATTTCATTAAAAACTTCAAAGTCTTAAAACTTAATTCAATTAAATGTCACATTCCAGAAAAGACAAAAGTTAAAATGTATTTACTTTGCTGTATGTCTATTTTCCAATTGAATAAAATAGTCTTAAAACTAAATGTACTAACCAGGTACCTGGGTTTCTCATCGTTAAGTAGGGAATGAGAAATGAAACGACACTGACGATGGCCGCCCCGCGGGGCGCACACCTGCACAGCACCGGGAGGCTGGGCTGCGAGGGAGGGGGGCGCCCACCCTGCCGGTGCCGAGGAGGGAGACTCCAGGACAAAGCCTTGGGGACCTGGACGCGGGACGGAGAGAAAGAGGACAGACGGGGTGCGGGAACTGACCGCGCCCGGGTCCGCGTTCGCCATCACCAGGAAGAGCTCCGCCTCCCGGGCGCTGCTGATCCACATCTTGGACCCGTTGAGGACGTAGTGGCCCCCCTTCTTCTCGGCTCTGGTCTTCAGGGCGAACGAGTCGCTGCCGGCCCCGGCCTCCGACAGGCAGAAGCTCCCCACCTGCAGGGTACGCACGCCGGTCACTGTCACACTCCGCACGACACGCTCTGGGCAGCAAACACCGCTCAGCCGCGGCCACGCTCACAACCTGTGCCTCCCGGGCGGAGACGCGCCCGACGGCAGTGTCTCCCCGACCCCGTCTCAGGCAGGCTGGGCCCAGCACACACGTCCAGTGCTGAGTTTAAGTGAATCGGCTCCTCCAGGAGAAGGACAGCGCGATGGCGTGAGCCCTCCAACGAGGGCGTCACAAAATATCATCGAGTCAAAGCGTAACTCCACTGTCACACGGTTGTTCTCTCAGTTTCCAAGCGGCAAGCGACAGGCAGAGTGTGTTTAGCGGCGTGAACGCACCAGGGGCCTTGGCGGGGCCGCTCTCCGGCCCGGAGCAGCCATTCCCCACACAGCACGTCCTCCCAGACACTGAGCACAGAAAGCCCCGCCCCGCCCCGCGGCCCTCACCTTGGCCGTGGCCAGCTGGCTCAGGTAGGCCGCCTTCTGCTCCTCCGTCCCGTGCTTCCGCACCAGCCCGTTAACCACCGTGTTCTGGATGTCGCAGATCAGCGCCACGGACGCGTCCACCTTGGCCAGCTCCTCCACCACCAGGACGAGGGAGAAGAAGGAAGCCCCGGTCCCTCCGTACTTGGCGTCGATGTCCACGGCCATGAACTGCGGGAGAGCAGGGCGGCGCTTTACAAGTCAAAGGTAAGCTGTGGCCACGCCCCTTCTCAATCCTGTATTTCGCACGAATGCCTCACTGTATTTACGTATATGACACAGACCACATGAATCTGAAACGGGTGACATAACTAAACGCTATGCTACCTGCTTCCATTTGTGACCTAAAGAGCAAAGCACAGGGAAGACGCTGTGAAGACCAGGGAAGGACGCGAGAAGCCTGCCATGAACAACCCGACGCCCTTCCCCGCTCAGGCCTGCAGGTGGCGGCCCCGTCCCACTGGTGTCACTGTGAGGAGGATACTGAAGGGGGACCTGCTCGTGGGAACGTCTGCTCGCACTCAGCACCCCCTCCCCAGCCAGGAGCTGCTCTGACTCCTCAACCCTCCGGGCCGCTCCTCTGAGCCACTGCAGCAAACCCCGACGGGAGCGGACACAGCTGGCGGCGCTTCCTGGACCAGCTGGACCGGCCGCCAGGCTTCCCAGGACCCGCAGCCGCTCAGCAGCTCGGCCGGGACCAGGAACCCCAGCTCCCCGGGTGCAAGTCCTCGTTCCAGGAAGAGGAGGTGGTGCATGTAATTCACCACCCGGCGCGGGAAACAGTGGCCGGCGAGCGCTCCCCCTTCCTCTCTGACACTCTGGCCCCTCCACTGCCGTCTGGTGGTGGCTGTTCTGTTTGAAGCTGGGGGACACGTAGCTGGGCTGAAGGGACAGCCACAAAGGGAGATGGAAGTGGTCGGAGAAGCGGAGACGAGACGGAGAGGAGACGGAGACGGCTCGGGAGGAAGCAGCGAAGGCGGGGCCTGAGGCCGAGGCGGTAGCTCCCTGCAGAGCTCAGATGCTATGGTCACAGACCCTACGTCATCTAAAGCAGGCCAGCCTTTTAACCCGGAAGGCGTTTGCAGGGATGGAAATGGAAGACATGCACATGTACCCCTTGCTGAAACAGTCCTTGTATGACTGACTTCTCCATTTTTGCATTTTCATCCATGGTCGAGACCAAAGGAGCAACTTGTTCCCGGGCAAATTTTTTAACTGTAGGAAAAAAAATACCCTAAGTCTTTACTCTATTGCTATGACGTGCATTACTTTTTTCAAAAAGAATTTTAAATGAGTGTCAAACAATTCCATTCACAAACGCAGGTACACAGATCTGCCCGCGTGCCTGGACCTCATGCCGCAGCCCGACCCGGCCAGGGCAGTGGGCCCGCTCACCTGCGCTCTGGATCATCAGCTCCTCATCGGAGAGCGTCTGCAGGGGGGCGCCGGGGAGCCCGCCGCCTGCTGGGCTGAGCAGAGCCTCGGAGTGGGAGGCCCGGAGGGCACGGGGAGGGCTCTTCCAAGCAGGCAGGCAGGTTGGGAAGTTTCGTCTAATCTGTAAAAACAGTCCCCGTTGAGTAGGGAGCCCACAGGCACACGTGTACACACATACACACACCACACACATGTACACACATATGCACACACACACACACACACACACACGGTAGGAGAAGTGTCAGAACATCAACTTCTTGTTCACGGTCATGGGAACAAAAGCAAACACTGCTTCGGGGATATAACTCCTTTGCCAGCAACGAGCTGCTCCGAATGAACACATTTCCCAGATGATTAACTTTTACCTGCAAGGAAAGAACTTTCTAGATGGAGCTCATGCTTAAGTCCACGGCCTGTTTTGTTTCTTCGGCTTCTCATTAGGAGGAGAGCACAGCACAGAAAGGGTGAAGAAAAGATGCTCTGGATCAACCGAAGGACTTGTATGCATGCAGATAAGCATAACCAATGGACATAAGACACTGGGGGGTAGGGGAGGCCAGGGGATTGTCAAGGGCGGGAAAAGAAGGAGACATATGTAATACTCTTTGTAATACTTTAAGCAATAAAACAATTAAAAAAAAAAGATGCTCTGGCCCGGCGGTGTGGCTCTGGTGAGCATCCGCCTAGGAACCAGGAGGTCAGGATTCGATTCAGGTCAGGGCACAGGCCCGGGTTGCAGGCTCGATCCCCAGTGGGGGGCATGCAGGAGGCAGCCGATCCATGGTTCTCTCTCATCGCTGGTGTTTCTATCTCTCTCCCCACCTCCTTTCCTCTCTGAAATCAATAGAAACTTTTTTTTTTAAGAGAAAAGCAGCTCTGGAGTCAGAGCACTGCCTCAAACCCTCGCACCTCATATCCAACAAGGCCGTGACCTTGGACAAGTGGTATCTGACCTCCGTTAGCACCTCCATCCTGGTCCCTCCCTGTAAAGTGCGGAGAATCCGCTTGGAGTCCTGAGGACGAGGAGAGAAGCCATGGAAAGGGCCCAGCGAGGACCCAGCAGAGAAGGCTCCGTGGACGGAGATGGCTTCTGCCAGGACCACGGGGTCCGTGGCGGTCAGTCGTCATGACAGGCGCGGTCCCAGCGGTGACTGACCTCGGGGGCCTGCCAGGCTAGGGCACTCCCTGTCGCCGCCGTGTCCATTCTACTCAGCAATGGAGTTGCTACAATTTTATTGAAAAAAGAGGCCGTCCCGTTTTAAAGGCTTATTACACCTTGTCACTGTTCTTTTGCGGCATTTTAGTAAAGGAGACAAGGAATCAGTCATTTTCCTGAGCCTGAGAATATGCCCAGGAAGGGCAGCTGGCACAGAAGTGCACACATGATGTGATTCTATCCATGAAAATCCAGAGGAGGGAGGGAGGGGCTGCTGGGGCGGGGCGGGGCCGGGCGGGGGAGGGGGGAAGGAGAGGTGGGGGAAGAGGAGGAGGAGGAGGGGGCGGAGTTGTGAAGGGCGCAGGGATGCCTCGGTGAGGAACCTCTCCCAGCCTCTCTGGGTGATGGGCGGGCGCACAACTCTGTCAATGGGCTGAAAATCACTGTCATTCACTTAAAACGACTGAGCTTCATGGCAGGGAAGTTACTCGGGAATAAAGCTGTTTAGAAAGAAACCCGTGCTTCCCTTTAGTCCCGAACAAGGAAGAGGCTGCCTCGGCCCTGGCACCCGCCCACTGGGCATCCAGAGGGGAGGCGAGCGCTGGCAGCTTCCCAGCAGCTGCTGATCGCACAGGGCAGGCGCCTGTGCAGGCGCCGTGGGGAGGGCCAAGCAGCGAGGGGGCAACAGCAGCGCCTGCGTCACGGCCACTCCCTCCTGCGCGTTCTGGTGACACGTGCGGAGCCGCCGACACACAGAAAATGGAAGGAGCGCAGCCGGCCCATTGCCGCGGGGCTGTGCTGCGCATTCTGCTCCCATTGAACTGGGACAGAAACGCTGGCCACACAGCAGGAAGACGAGTGTCTTCATTCCTCTGCTCCATTTCGCTTTGTTTTGAAATGAGGAGGCAGGTAGTTTAGGGCAAAGTCGCATGGAGCGCCTCTCGTTCAGAGACAGAGGTGGGACATGGACATCTGGGCCAGAAAGGAGGAGGGACAGTGCAGGGGGCAAGTGCTCACTGGAGAGGCAGGGGCTGCATGCTGAGCGAGTGGAATCCAATCTTTAAAAAATGTTTTCATTGATGTCAGAGAGGAAGGGAGAGGGAGAGAGAGAGAAACATCAGAGACGAGAGAGAATCCTGGGTCGGCTGCCTCCTGCACGCCCCCTACCCGGGATCGAGCCCGAAACCTGGGCCTGTGCCCTGAACGGGAATCGAACCCTGACCTGGTTCCTAGGTCAACACTCAACCCCTGAGCCACGCCGCTGGGCTCGACGGTGACTTTCGAGAGCCCCTGCCCTGCGTGGTGGCCGCAGCCGCTGCAGCTCGGGGCCGCCATCCATGCTTGTCCACGGAGCACCCACGGCACCTCCTCAGTCTCTGTGCAGAGCAGCAGGGCTCCTGAGTGGAACTGGGGTTTTACGCCTCGCCCAGCCTTTCCAGAGCTTCCGTCCCAACTGTTTTCTATCAACCGCCAGAGCGGTTGCTCTTAGACGCACTGGTGACCAAACCTGGGGCCTGGGGTCTGGGGACGCCTGTGGGCGGAACCGAAGTCCAGGGACTTGGATGGGTTAGAATCACACCTTCGCGTCCCGCCCTCTCGCGGAAACGCGTTTTCTTCCCTTCTGAGCGTAGGCCAGGAGTCCAGCGGGTGAAGAGTGAGCTGTGACGGTCGCCAGGAGACAGGACAGATGCTTCCGCATCACAGAGCAGTGGTCCCCAGACCCTGAGACATTGTTGGGCTCGTTACTACTTCATAGTCATGGCAGGTACTCAACTGCTGCCGGGTCTTATTTCAGAAGCACCGATTGTTATATTACAATTTAAAGTATTTTAATAACTTTATCGCAGTTTATTTCCTCTGTAAGCCTACATATCTATGCATTCTGAAACATGTTGAGAAAAGGCCTATATGCTCTGCTGCACTGCCGTATGCCTCTCACCACGGCACAGAAACGGTTAAGATCCCCTGACGGCCGAATGTTCTGGTAAATCTTTTGCTAAAGTCATTAACTTTGGCCAAAGTTAGCCACAACCTTCTCCTTGCGGTCAGCACAAGGCCTGTTTACAGCACGAGAGGCAAAGGCAGACCCAGGAGCAAAGGGGTGCTGACCCCAAGGGAGAGCACCTACACTTCCCCCAGGACTTCCCCCAGGAAATGTCCTGCTCCGGCACGAGGAGTGCCAGCTCTCACGGCTTCTCACCAAGTGCGGCTCCTGGCTCCTCCCTGCGGACAGGGGTGTGTGTGTGCGTGTGCGTGTGCATGTGCCTTTGACTCCATTCCAGTGCTCAGCAGGGTTCACTCAAGCCCAGTGATGGCGAACCTTTTGAGCTCGGCGTGTCAGCATTTTGAAAAACCCTAACTTAACTCTGGTGCCGTGTCACATATAGAAATTTTTTGATATTTGCAACCACAGTAAAACAAAGACTTATATTTTTGACATTTATTTTATATATTTAAATGCCATTTAACAAAGAAAAATCAACCAAAAAAATTAGTTCGCGTGTCACCTTTGACACGCGTGTCATAGGTTTGCCATCAGTGCCCTAGCCCATCCCCTGTCACTGGTAACTGTGGCCGTGAGAACCTGACTCCATGCAGGATGGATGCTCTACTCGCACACGAGGGGCTAAGAGCCCCCGAGAGACGTCTGTCAGTCAGAGAGCGGTGCTCAGGCACAGCCCACCGCGCCCAGGGCTGGGTAGAAAAATCACTCCCTCTGTTACCCATCAGCCTGACTCAGGGGGAACAAGTGACAGAAAGCAGCGCTGAAGCCAAGCAAGCGCGTTCAGGAAGGCACTTGGCATAGAGACAAGCAGGCCACTCAGCTGGTCTGAGCGCGTGGGGAGGGGGGGTGTCCAGGGCTTTATACCCCCCACCTCCCCCTGCCCCCGAGAGCTTTCAAAGCCCCCCGCTGGACGCCGGGGGACGCAGAGCAGGTTTCAGCCCCCCGCCCTGTGGTGGCTTCTCGCTCGCCCGCGCACATCTGGCCAGTCCTCAGGCAGCTGACTTCTTTGTTTGAGGTGAGATAAACTCCCCTTCTGCCCCCTTCGCCGCCTCCTGCCCCAGCCGCTATCTTTCCTGTCCAACGCCACCCCCTCCCGTCCCACCGTGGTCTCTGTTCGGGGGTTTAGTTGCACAAATGGCACAGCTGGCTCTTTGCTCTGTTTCCCAGGCCCGGGCGGTTAAGCTGCGCATTCTCTGGTTCAGCAGCAGCGGCCGTAACCTTCTGTTCTCAGGTGTCCTGGGCTGGCGAGGTTATGGTCTTGTGATTCACCAGCTGCTGCAAGCGGCCCAAACGGTTTGGTCTTGCTCAATTTTCTTGTCTCAGTTTCTCTTCCACATGCCCAGGGATCTCCCCAGCTTTCACTACCTGCCACACTTCTACCCTTTCATGTTCTTCTGGCTGGCCCGAAAGCAAGTCGATAAGAGACAGATTAGCGGGAGAAAAACAAATGACAGTTTAATGGCATGTCCACGCCCTGTACACAAGGCAGAGACTCGGGAACACTGAGTACCTCGCCAACACGACAGGAGCCGGCACCTGAAACACCAGAAGGAAGATGAGGGGGTGGAGCGCCAGCTATGGGCGTGGCCAGGCGAAGCGCAGGACACAGCTCAGGCTGTCACCTGCTCGGATTTCTATGCATTTATCTGAGCCAAACTGACGACAACTGCCAGGAAGCAAAATCTCAACGGAGAAAACGCTCCGGGAAAATGGCCATTTACCACTTATTTACACGTCAGCATCAAAGGGGAACACGTACGGGTTACACGAAATCACCTGGTGACAGGTGAGGGGGCGGGAGAAAGCAAGGAACCTGTGGGACTGTATGAAAAGTAAAGCGACAGACACAGGCTTGTGTTAACACAGGCGGGTAGAAGGTAGCGCACAGTTAACAGAGGGCTCTGGTGGGAGATTGTGCCCTGAGGGATCTGGGAAAAGGAAATGACCCTCACATTCCAAAGACATGTTACCTTAGGACAGCGGTTCTCAGCCTGTGGGTCGCGACCCCTTTGGCGGTCGAACGACCCTTTCACAGGGGTCGCCTAAGACCATCCTGCATATCAGATATTTACATGACGATTCATAACAGTAGCAACATGACAGTTATGAAGTAGCAACGAAAATGATTTTATGGTTGGGTCACAACATGAGGAACTGTATTAAAGGGTTGCGGCATTAGGAAGGTTGAGAACCGCTGCCCTAGATGCAAAGAGACGACAGGCAGGCTCAGTGAAGGTGAAGGTCAAGAAAGATGCGGCCTCGGACACGCCTGCCCCGCGACTGCCTGTTAGTGAACAAGCTTTCAGGTCTGCGGGTGAGAGGCCGCCCAGCAGCCTCCCCGGAGCTCGCCCGCAGCCCCGTCCTCACCGTCAGAGCGCAGGCCTTCTCCAGCCACAGCGAGGCAGGCCTGGCCCGGTGAGGGAACCGCCCTCAGACTCCGTGCAAACACAAACAACCTTCACAAGGTTGTCTTCTCCTTGGTTTTCAGAACGCCTCCCATGTCTGCTGTTTCCTCCAATCACTCAGCCTAAAATAACCCTTATGCCACAGAAGCATATTGGGGTGCAAAGGTTGCTCCCCTTCACCAGTCAATACTTTGTTTCTGAAATGTCTTTCTCCTGACCCCCTCCAGTGTGGCCGATTCACTTGCAATGACAATCACCGTTCGTTATTCACACCATAGATTCCTTCCTCAGCTCATTAACACCCTCAGAGGCTCTTCCTCTCCTGGGAGCCATGCCGCTGTCCCCTTCCCTCGCCCATAAACACTCCTGGTCTGGGACCTGCTGGCCTTTCTGCCTGAATCAGTGCTTCTGGCACAGCTATTCTTTCGCATCTCAAATGCTCGGTGCTTCTCACTGTAGCCTTTTATTGTTAAGCTAACAAAATGGAAAAATAACCAAAAACCTGAAGAATAGCTTTTGACCTACATTATCCACACCTGTGCACTCTATCTGTGTAACACAATCTGAAAGAAGAATTCTATGTCAAAGGGCAACATGAATTCAAAATTCTAATAAAATTTCCCAAATTGTCTTTTGCAGCAGTTAAACATTCTAACTCCCCCTGGTAAACGTTTAAGATGCCTGTATTCTGACAAGGAGGAAATTCTGAGATGTTCGATATTCAATTACAGGGGCCTGACTGGCTCCATGGTTGAGCGTCGACCTAGGAACCAGGAGGTCAGGGCGCAGGCCTGGGTGGCGGCTCCATCCCCCGTGGGGGGCGTGCAGGAGGCGGCCAATCCATGGTTCTCTCTCATCATGGGTGTTTCTATCTCCCTCTCCCTCTCCCTTCCGCTCTGAAATCAATAAAAATAGATTTAAAACAAATAAGTAAAGGCAGACTCAGCGTTCAGTTGTGCAAGGTGAAATGTTCGTTTTCCAGTGCAGAGACCCTGAGAGGAAGGGGAGAGAATCTAGGGCAGCCAGAGATCTTTGTCGTTGGTCTCCTGGGAACCAGAGAGAAAGGAGGGTGGCAACACCATTCTGAATGCCAGTGTCTAGGTGAGGGAAAGGCTCAGCCCAGGGCTGTGGGCGTTGCGCTACAGGGACAAGCACAGGCCTAACCGCTTACAGCGACAGCCACTGCCACCTGAATGCGTCCCATCCTCGCAGCCTATCCCCAAAGCTCTCCTGCTGATGGTTTCTCAGAGCGCACACCTCCCTCCCCGCTTGGCTGACACACCTTGGCCCCGACTCCCCACCCCTCTGCTGACTTACCCAGGCCTAAGCCACTCCTCTAAGGAGTCTAAGCACATCTGTCCACACATTTGTTCAGCACTGGCAAGCCTCCTACTGTCCTGTCACGCATTTAACACATCTGCCCGCCTCCCCATTGAAACTGTAACTTCCCCGAGGCCACGGACCCTGCTATAATCTATGGCCTGGGCCCCGCAGGCGGATCAGAACTCTGCGGGAGCAGACACGACCGCCCAGGAGTTGGTGGGGATGGCTTCTGCCCGTACCACTAGCTGGTGTTCACTAAGTATTTACAACGTGCCAAGAGCTGTTCTAAGCCCAGACATCCCCTCTCCCTTACTGTCTGTTCTCCCCACTGTGGAGAGCAGAGCACGGAAGGACGAGTGGGCATGTCCTGGGGAGCGGGGCAGGGAGGATGCAAACCCAAGTGGCCTGACCCGAGTCCACGTTTATCACACGGACAGTTTCTGCTTTGCCCCAGGCTCTCTCTCAGGCCCGATGCCAAATAACTGGCGAACGAGTGCTGATGGCTGTGCGTGGCAGGGCACCGAGCCAGACCCACATGCATCCGGCAGCTGGAGGGGCTGGCAGTCCCGGGCACGATGAAGCGAACAGAAGCTGCCTGAAGTGTTCTGAAACCACCTGCTGGCGAGGTCCGGCTGGCGAGGTCCGTTCCGGCAGATGGGGTTGTTTAAACCAAATGAACAGGGGAGTTCCAATCGCCAGAACAGGAAGATCCGAGGCGGCGGCGTGGGCTGGGACCAGCCCGACTGTGTGCCCGAGGGCTGAACGCCGCCTCCCAGTCCCCGTGGAAAGTAAGTCCTGACCTGACACCGGCTCCTGGCCTCACGGGGAGTGACAGGGCGGGTGTCAAATGCGGTCCCTGCATTGTAAAGGCCCCTCCAGGCGCCTCTCCGCGCATCCCTGGTTAGGGACCGAAACAGCCTCCATGCACGTGCGGTGACAAGTCAACTGTCACAGCCATGACGCTGCACCTCCCAGGCTC